TATGTTCTAGGCCCGTTTACAAGACATACCCTGTTTTTGGCACGGCACTTGATGACAGTTACTTTTGGTTCTATACACGGCTTGGTTTCCATGCGCTCCCCGGATGGTTGGCGATGCTTGTTAACTGCATATTTTCAAACCTAATTTTAGTGTGCAGTGATGACCAATTTGTGCGGTGATAAAAGTAAAATGTGCAGTGATAAAATATGCAGTGATGAAATGTGCAGTGATAAAATGTGCAGTGATAAAATTTGCTGTGATATAAGTTGTTAATCAGTGAGTGAGTGATACTTACCATTTTGTCAGGGCCGTAGCTAGACACGATAATTGGCCCCCAATTATCGTTCTAGCTACGGCCCTGCATTTTATTGTATATTGTATAACCTTCAGAATTCTATAGAGTCTATAGAATGTCCCCACACATTGCAGGAAATGCCCTTTTCGAGAGCCTAGATTACAAGATTTTCTGTGCGTGCATGCCCTCTATATAGAGCTTTCTCACGCCTAAGCCGCCTTTTATTTGCCAAGATGAAAATATTTGATATTTTGCATATGATTATGAAACTATGCTGTCATAGATAGTCGTCACTGCATGTGCTGTCAAAGCCGCCCAGAGGGGTGGAGGGGGCAATTTACCCTGGGGCCCCAGTGAGACCTCATGATCAGATTTCAAAATTTTCCCGGGGAGAATGCCCCCGGACCCCCATAATCATAGTGCTAGAAGATAGAATCACGAGGGGCCCCAGATCAAATTTTGCCCACCGACCCCAAATTTCCCTGAGTGACCTTGGATGCTGTACAGTGTTTGTTTTGGCATTGCTGAACATCGATTAATTGTAGCCTGCGTTTTGTGGTTACACAGTATTATAAGGATGTGTTCAGAAATTTTCAGACCGTGCTTCTGCTCGGCTAACTTTGCACAAAACTCTGCAGTGATAAAAAATTCATAAAAATAGCTATGCATATTTTAAGATAAATGAAAATACCAGTGTTATATAATTTCATTTTGTTAGTTGCAATTTGTTCCTATAGCTATAGCTATAGCATAACTAACGAGGCAAATGATGAAGCACTGACTAGTCAAACAAACACTTGACTTCACTTAATTTTATTATTACTGGTTTGCCTTTACGGAAAGCAATTAGTTTTAGCCTTAAGCATCAAAGCCCCGGCTTGACAGAATTAATATTGGAGTGTCTGGTAAAGCAAGGTCAACGAACGACACAAACATTGGTGTCTTTGACAAAGTTCAGTCATTATATTCATGCTGGATTACCCATTTGTTTCATTAGCGCCGTTATGTTACGCTCTATTTGGAATTGTTTATTAATTTGCCGTCAACATAATCCAGCAATTGTAACTGATCGTTGGCAAACCGTACCATCGTAACCAAGATTAGAGTCAGAGAATTTAATATGAAAGTGTCAAGATTCTTTGCTACCCTAAATGTTATTAAGTGACCTGTACCACATATTGACTTATATATATATTTATTTGCCTTCGCAACGTAGTTAAACGTACTGAGTTAATTAAATATACGCTCCACGATTATATGCATGGCGGACCAAGATGATTAGCTTCATTGATATCGGATTCAGTGCAAGAGGGATCAGGTTACCGCCACGGTTTGGGTTGGTAACAGCTTTCTCTACATTTTACAACTGTGATGAATATGTTTTTGCCAAGTTTGCAAGTAAAATAATTTAATGCATTTTAAACTTTGTAAGTTACCAATTTGAGAGTTTCCGTACGCACACTTCGATATCCAACTAAATAATTAAAATGAAAGTATCTACATGTATTTATTAGTCCAGTGTAGTAAGATCGATTTGTTTGTTTGTTTAATTTGTTTTGCTGGGAAAACTTAATATAGTTAGCATGCAGACTTACAGTAAAGCCCCACATAAAAGAACCAGTAGGTTAAGCCCACCAGCGGACCAGTCGGAAATTTGGGCAATTAAGCACCTAAAATACAAGTTTTTAAAAGTTTTTTAAGTTTAGATATATGTAACGGGAACCATATTAGTGTCATAGCATTAGTTTTATGCAACAAAAGTCCCTGTTAATGTGTAGAATAGAAAAAAAGTGTAGTGTGAAATAAGATTATATAAGAACCACTTCAGCCTGAAGTCAAAATTCACTGGTTCTTTTACGTGGGGCTTTACCGCATTCTGAGACTCAAAAAACTTTTACTCTCTCCCAGCCTAGACCTAGGCCTTTACTCGGCTGGTAATTATCATAAAGGCCTAGTAGAGTCACAAGTTCTCAAATTAGCCCCATAACTTTGTGATCCGAAATTGATCAGAAACCAACAACTAAAGCAATTTATACTGTCCAGTAGTTATTACATTAACTATAAAAACATTTTATGACTAAACTAAGTTCTATTTTGTAGTAATATTTTGACTCATTTTGACCTTTCGCAACATAATAATAGTGTAGCTTCAAACTTTATGATAAAAACCCCGATTTTCTAGGCGTGTATACAAATAGAAATAGTAAGTTTATACTATAAATGAGTTTATTTTACCTGTATAGGTTTAAATTCACTGTTAAGTTGCAAATAATTCTGTTTGAGAACGCAATAATTGGGCATTTCGCAACCAGGGCAGTTTCAGGACAGTTTTGGCCTTGTTGTTGGGAAACCCACTAGGCCTTTTATTTTTTCGCTTTCGTCCATCCTCCGCCCCGCCCCCAAATCACCTAGTCCCAGTCTTTTCATGTGAAAAAGCGCTGAGTATTAAAAAAATAATAAAAATAGAAGGCCTAGGTCTAGGCTGACTCTCCCCCTTCATGCATGCATGGCTACGCTACTTGAGTGTTGGTATATAGCTATGAGGAGAATTCATGACAAACGGCGATTTAGGAATCAAAGCATTGTTCTTGAGACTGTTTCTGTGCTATATATGTAACAATTATTAATATAAATCATGGTTGTATAAAATGAACTTTCGTTTCAGTTAAGCCTGGTTCACATATACCTGCGGTACTGTGCCTGCGGTTTATACTCGGTTTGTCGGTGGGCTATTGCCATCATTAGCAGTTCAACCAAATAATTCACAAAAGAATGTATGTGTCAACATCTGTAAACAATGATAACACATGCATACCGCAGGCATATGTGAACCAGGCTTAAACAGTCCTGGGAAAATAATCATTCTTTGTCGGTCATCAACCGTGACCTATTTCAATACATGCAAATATCGTTAATCGTCGGTCCTATATGATAGCGATGCGCTCAGTTTTGATATTTCAAAACACAAACAAATATCTGCATGCGTTCATTCTAGCATTATTCGGGCTGTTTTTGACTGTCTACACTATATTATATATACCCAAGGAAATGCAGATACGTTTTTACTATTTTCGATCTTTAGCTTCGTTTATTCATTTTGTCGTTAATTCTGGAAAAGTATTATACAAAACGACCGTGATAAAAGTCTACAGAAAGAGGCAAATCCTTAGTGTTCGTTCAGGCTGTTCCTAAAATATTCGCTGATAGTATGGCCCATTTTGCAATACAGGGTTTCAAAAAAAAAACTATTGAAAAAACGTATTGTTAAAATTTGAATGCCTTAGCACTAAGCTGAACGCAAAGATGCGTAAAATATTGACAGGGTGCATATATTAAATATTGACTTATTAGGAAATTAAATATCTTTGTGAAGCGCACGATTTTCTGTTCTTGGGAATTTAAAGCAGCTTCTTCATTATTATATTCTAAAAGAGAATAACTTGATAGAAAATGATATAAAATTACAAATTAGTCAAATGTATAGGTTATTTTGAGGCAACGAGGGGATATGTGATTTATTCACCGAGGCGCGCAGCGCCGAGGTGAATAAACACATATCCCCGAGGTGCCTCAAAATAACGTACTTATTTTTCACATTGCGAGGTCGCGTTAATGAGTCAGATAGAAATAATTCTTACTGCCATATTGCCTTCGTGATGCTGTTTCTTCTCATTTTTTGTGCTGCAAAGACATTGCAGGGGAATATTAGAGGGGATTATTAAACGGAAATTGATTAGAGGGGAATATTGAATATATTCCCCGATAAGAACAAAGGAAACCGAGCAGTGTGAAAAATAATATCAGTTCGGGAGAAAATAGTTCAACTCACCACAGTTCCATTGTGATAACGCTGCGTATTACATAAATCTCAGACTCGTACAAACATTCTTTTAAACAGTTTCTTTATCCATAAAATTTAATTACTTATGGGTTCAGCAGAGTGCTGAGGCATTCAATTTCTAACAATACGTCATTTCAATAGTTAATTTTTGTTTTTTAGGACACCTGTATAAAATATACTGTATATTAAAATTAATAAACATGCAATATCCAGTTGGAGAAACTGAGCATCGGTTCGCTACGCATGGTTGTGCTCATGACGTCTAACCTCGCCTTTCAGAGCGTTTTCGCTCCAGTTTCAAAATCGATTTCGAAATACGTAGAATACTGAGAAAAATCACATAGGCGTTTTTTGGGTTCGCCATGCCATCTTGCCAAGTGGGTCAAACAAGTGTTGTAATCTAAGGAGTCACCTACAGGTCGAGTCAAGTCAAGTCGAGTCATTTCACTTTCTGATCGAGCCGAGTTGATAACGAGTCAATGACTCGACTCGTTACACTATTGGTCTATGCAGGGACAAGTATTCTCATTGGGACGAAGATGGCGTCGCAAACCTCGAAAAGGCGTATTCATGCAACAATCCGAAAGGGACGTTGTCATTAACCCGCACATTCTTTAATTAACAATTAAACTTAATTTAACTTGGTCTGCCATCAATCACTGTTGCCATATTCAAAATATAATTGCAAACAGTCAGTTCTGGCCTTAATCCGCTTTCAGTCACGGTGAATGACTTCTTGTTGTTTAAACGCCATGCGCCTAGGTACAAAAGAGTCATACACCATAACGCTGAAGTATTTCGTATTAATAAAAGCTAAAAATTTGCTCCATTATTGCCTATTGGTATAGATTTCATTTCAGAGGTCTAATCCTATTTTTGCTGTAGTGCATCACCTAAAGCCAGTAAACAATTTCAATGAAAATCACAGTTATGATTTGCCTTAAGCATAAAACCATAAACATCATTATTATGCCAAGCTCACTTAATGAAATCGGTGAAGCCTAACTTGCTTGTCGTCTATGCATTAGTAGGTAATCAGGTAGCATAACCAATCGGAAATTAAACGGCTGGTATGTTGTACGCGTAATTCTTAATGAGTCGAAGAGTGCATAAAAGACACCCAATTTCTATCCCATAGTTAAACCGAAGAAGACATTCAGGAAAGAACAACTTGGAAGGACATCTTGCTTTTGTTGAAAGTAAGTTCGACGACTATTATCTATATATTCAGTACAGAAGCACTATTTTCGTCGTGTTCTCATTTTAGAAGCTCGAGGGGTATATATAAGTCATCACTCGAACCGTCCAAATTCGTCTTATATTTTTCATATTCATGCAGTTGTAGCAACCGAGCTGTGTGATTTCACTGTGAGTTGTATTTGATTCGTAAAATAGGTACACGTTCTTCGTACATTAAATGTAGGTACATGCAGACCGTACAGTACATAGTCATACAACGCCCAAACCAGCCGAATTAGCGGTTTACTGCATGAGCATACATTTAGGGCTTCGCAACAGGATATCCCATATTGCCGAAACGGACAGGGCGTTCAAAGCATGGCTATATTCTAGCTAAACCGGCAGCATATTACTACAAATAATTCGGCATGATCTGATCTTTGTATTCATTCATATAGATTATGCACAGACTCAACTTATGCCTGTTTTCAAACTTTAAATGATCAAATTCCGCATTGAACAAGAACTATAGATTTTTGCCGTCTCAGCGTATCCCTATAGAAAATGTTCTGTTTAGCATCCCGCCTTGACCGCCGTACTTTATTCGAACGATCGTTTACGCATGTGTCCGTATTATAGTTACGAAAAAATATTCAAACCCGGCTCAATATAGCATACAGATGTTGATCGATCTTATATATTTTCTGTTTGTAGGAACACGCCCCAGTTATTTTGAGATTGAAGAAAAACGACGTTCCAATCATTTAAAAATGCTCAGGTTGTCAGCAAGTTTTGTCGCGCTTTTGTTCGTAACCGGTAAGTATCGTGATAGATTGTGCATGTTTATTGTATACAATAGATATAAAATAATATGCTTCATGTACATTTTGCACTTTCAGTCAGTGAGCCTATATATAGGCCGGTTCAGTTGTCGAATTCCTTATGATTTTGTCGGTTCATGTGTTTTTGATTGTGATGGACTATACATAATCTAAAGTTCACTTTGAACTGCAAGTTAGGGTAGCGAAGATAGCAAACTCGTCAAAAATATTTCTCTAATACTATAGGTATTTTATAATGCAACACTAGTTCAGTGCACATACATGGCGGGTATATTTACACAAAACTAGAATCCATTAGATTAAGTTTAAATCAGGACGCTGCATGCATATACAGCTACCTCGACCTCTTGAGGCGGTTTTCCACCAATAGGCGAAATTTTTCGACCGAATCGAAATTTTTTTTGTCTTACAACAAGCACTCAGATGGAACTAAACAGAAATCTTTTGAATTTGATCGAAAAATTTCGGTTCGATCGAAAAATTTCGCCTAGTGAGTAGTGGAAAACCGCCTTAAGTGCGTAAAGTACGATGGACATGCATGCAGTATATAATTGGCAGTCCGAACACTCCATATACCGAGGTGTCCCATGCAAAAACACCAAAACTATTGAAATAACATTTTTTTAGATTTGAATGCCTCAGCACTCTGCTGAATCCACAAGTGTATAAAAGCTTGACATTTTATGCATGAAGAAACTGTTTAAGAAGCTGCTTAAAATTCCCGGCCAAGAGGAGAAAATCGTGCGCTGTATAGCCTACATGCAAAGATTCGTATTTTAATTTCTTGAATTAGGAAGTCAATATTTATAATATATGCACCCTGTCAATGTTTTACGCATCTTTGCATTCAGCTTAGTGCTAGGGCATTCAAATCGATCTGACAATACGTTATTTAAATAGTTTTGGGTTTTTTAACGGTTAAGCGGTTACTACATTCCACATAAGCCGTTTTGGTAATCGGCATTCCCGTTGATCAGTTTCATCTTTCTCGGATTTTATCTGCTCGTCTATCCCAATCAATAGCAAACCTGGCAGAATGCATTGGATTTTTAAACTTTTTAATATTAAAAAAAAGCAAAATATATTGGGTTTTTAAACTTTTTAATATTGAAAAGTGTTGTGTGATGTGCTTAACTCCTTTGGGAATTAAATTCACTTGATTAAATAAATTACTAACATGTATGCATGAACAATCTCATCATCATAATAATGCTTTTCGCGCTCACAGGTCAAAGTTTGGCGGTCTTCTCTGGGCAACCTTAATGATTAGCTGTATATAAGCGCCCTTGTTTTAAATGCCCTCAACGTGCACTAAACTAGAGCGTGATGAAAGCCATGTATTACGGGAAATAAAATGAAATGTAATTAAACTCCACGTACATGCACATTTTATGAAAAAACCACGTATAGGTATTAATAATTCAGCAAAGCCTTCGATCCGCATGCCCATGGGATCTATAGTCGAATATCTAATCGAAACGTCATCACACAATTTTTCAAATGTTTACCATATTTGGAGTGAGCTAGCATATTGTATTGCATTTTTAAACGTTGTTGTTTTAAATAATGCACTTATATCTTTTATGAAATCAATGGGAATTAAAATTAATTCCGTGTATTTAAATTATTTGGCGGATAACGTCCAAAGAATTAATAGCAAATGAATTAATTATTGCCATGTATATACATTACTTTGTAGCTAAAATTCTAGCAGAGGACGTTTGTAAAAACAGTGGCACACCAGTAACTGGAACTCATCAGAAATGTGATTGCGCAACTGGATTTAAAGGATTTGACTGCAGTCAGAAAGGTTACTTTGAATCAGATTAATTTATTGATAATTAGATTACTTGAGAAAAACATTTTTAATAATTGTTATTTTATCAATACGTGCAGTTACTGTGTGCGATGGAAATCCTTGCAGAAACTCAGCAGTGTGTGTGGACAATGATGATGGTACATTCACGTGCAAATGTCAACCCAACTACGAAGGAATTCTGTGCGAAAAAAAGGGTAAAATTAGAAAAGAAGAATATGATTCTATAATTTATTTGAGGGAGCATTGTACACCCGCGGTCGACTCGAATAGACTGAAACTGCACGCATGTCTGCGAAATCCACTTAGTACATTGTTACTGGCCTGTTGACCAATGCAAGAAAAAAATCCTCAACCATAAAGTTGAATTAACCAGATTATGTTATATGGATTCTTTAACCAGGAAATCTCGGTTAATAGTCCACCTAACATTACCTGGTTATTTTAACCATATAGCCTGGTTAAGCTGATTAACCAGGAACCTGCTTAAACTAGCCACGATAGTGATCAACTTAACTAGGATTGTGATTAAATTAACCAGGATTAAGTTACCCCCAAAAGAGTGTTAATTTCAGATTTAACCAGGAAGTGTTTAACCAGGGTGTTTCTATATATAGTGTAAAATATTTTCTGATAACTACGTTGTATTTTTAAGTTCGTCCATGTGACAAGCAGCCATGTAAAAACAATGGTAATTGTTCAGATGATGGTGTAAAATGTTTCAAATGTGAATGTCCTGATGGATTCAAAGGATTTGATTGTTCTAAGAAAGGTTACTATATACGATTATTATATTATGAAGATAATGGAGCATAAGTTTTGGTTAATTGTGATACATTTATGGTAGATTAGTTGGTTTACATGCATGTTTCCACAAACAAAAACTTGTATTATCTTATTATTCGCCATGCATGTATGCATGCATGCAAAACAACAAACCCTCATTGTCCGACACCACCTGGTGAGCACGGCCGCCCATAGCTTTTTTGAGGCCAGGGGCAAAATACCCTCTTGCAGCTCGATCTCTTCCGAAAATTAAGGCTATGTCTTAATTGTAAAAAGCGTTCAAATTAAGACATTGCCTTAATTTTAAACCTAACCCCCCCCCCCCCTAACCTCTAACCCCTAATCCTAATAAATTCTTAGTCTAACCCTAATTCAATCCAAATCTGGCGACCTCTTTTTTACATTTTTTAAGCCATATCCTTAATTTTCAGAGGTTTTACAATTAAGATATAGCCTTAATTTTGAGAAGGGATCATGTTGCCGCTTGGGAGGTTTTGCCCCCCCCCCTCTGGGCGGCCCTGCTGGTGAGTCTGTAATTCTTTCCACAATGAAAGTATTTGACAATGAAAAGCCTATTCGAAAATTAATCCCTAAAAGAATCGATCATTTTGTTTTTTTTTGTCGTTTTATCAGACAATAAATGAAGAAAATTTTTTATATATAGTTCTACCATGCGAAGTATCTCCCTGCCAAAATGGAGGTGTTTGTTCCAATGAAGAAAACGGAAGTTTTAAATGTACCTGTACAACTGGCTATGCAGGTTTGGTGTGTACTAGGAAAGGTAACTGTCTATATATGTTAATTATATTTACAAATAACAATAAATTATTATTTGAACGCTTACTAGGACGAATCAAAATCTTATTGCATGCATGATTAGTTCACTCTTAGTATATTAATTTCATGACTAAAGTCGCATTAAATTAAATAATTCAAACTCAGCATCATCCATATATCATGTATTTAGGGATGGGTCAATGTTACCTGCTGGAACGAGAGCTGTAGGTTTTCGACTTCTCAAAGTCGTCATCAGACAGAAAGAAAAATTAAATGATATAATATATAAATCTCGTCTTGTTTTAATTCAAATCTCGAATATTCTTCGGAATTTATTTCTTTCTATAATATCTTAAATTGTTGGCTATTTGTGGTTTTTGGGAACATAAACCGAATTCTAAACCGAATTCTATTAGCGATTTCTATCGAGTGTAAGTAATTTAGTCAGCCCGCGATAGTCAGCCGCGGGTAGTCTGCCTCGTACAGACAGCTCTAAAAACGTATAATATCCTTTTCAAAGCAAACTACATGTAGGTCACAACTACTGCATACGTAGATCTGCCAATATATTCTGCATGTTTTGGTATAACATAATCTAATGCACCTGTTTTTAAATAAGATGAATAATCATAATAATAATAATAGTATATACATCTATATATAGGTATATCTGACTTATTAAACTTAATTTCACATGTATAGAGACACTCTTTGCTTCTACTGTACTGGAAGGTAACAGTGAGTGGATTGATCAACTGCAGAAATGGTTGCCGTCACAGCTACAGAAGAAAAAAATGAAACTATGCTACAGAGCTTCGGATAACGGATGGGCATCCAGCACTTTCCACAACTTCTGCGATAACAAAGGACCCACCGTTGTTTTGGTGCAAGCTGGAAAGTATGTTTTCGGTGGATATGCTGCTGAAGCATGGGGAGGTAAACAAAACATTGCTATTTTAATGTACGACCCTTCTCTAGTTTCTAAAATGTCAGACTGTTTGTGTATTTCGAAGTCCCCTATAGAGTTATTGATCGACGAATACCTGTTTAAAATAAGGCTGAAATTTGTTAAGCCACGTATAAGGCGTAGCCTGTGTTCCAGGGTATAGGCGTATAGCTAATGGACTGGAACACAGGCTACGTATAACTAGCATTTGACAACATTCTTTATATTCTTGTATACGTACTATCATCAATTGTTTTATTGATATTAGCCTTATGAGGTTATTAAACATGTGACGTATATAATCTTTCCAATTCCATTAAATGCAAAGCTGAATTATTAATAAAACGTTTGTCAGTTTTGGAATATAAAATATTGATATATAAAGATAATGGCAAGTGTGGTTGTTACACCCTATATGGACTAATTAATATATAGACATCGATTTAATATTGATCATCGATTGTCTGTGAATAGTTGTATCCTTGTTTGAGATCCGTTGTCAATTGTTAATATCACCAAGTAGTTCAAACCACTCCTAGTTGTTGAGGGCATTATGAAAAAAGTTTTACCTATTTTGGTGGTTGAAGTTGTTTTGAAAACTTCTATATCTGTGTAGAAAATGGCTGTATCTGTGAATATAGCAGACAATAGTTAATTCAGTGTTAAATTTTTATCCTGCAATATTTTTTTTAGGTTCTGCTCGTTACATAAAATCCGATACATCCTTCCTTTTCTCCTTCTCCAACAGAGACAGCCTTGAACCTTTTAAATCCCCAGTCTACCAAAATAGCGCGAATGCAATGTATACCAATAACGGTTATGGTCCTACATTCGGTGCTCATGATATTTACATTGCTAACAACGCTAATGGTGGAATAGCATCCTACACCAACTTCGGTTACAGCTACAAACCACCCTCTGGTTATAAGTATGGTGGACAGGAAGCCAAACAGTTGTTGGCAGGATCCTACAATTTCACCCCTAGTGATGTTGAAGTTTATTATTTTGACAATGGTAAATAGTTTTCTTGGACAGATTGCTGGGGTCTGTTAAAATAGCGTGTGTTTGATATCAGTTAAGGTCTGTAGATTGCAAATTTGGTTATGTAAGGTGACTAAAGTGTGTGCTTTAAATTTGTGAAAACTGAACAACTGAAATAAAGAATGGTTTGTTTTTGTATTGGTATAGTTTGAATGGTAACTTACGGTCATACACTCCGCATATAGTCGACACGGAGTTTTGTATGCAGTGTTATACAAATTAGCAGCAAGTTCCCTTCGTCGCGGGTATTAGGGACCTTAAGCATGTACGACAGCAACGCGACGACGACAGGCAAAACAAACTTCTTCAAATAAATTATTGCGAGGAAGAGTTGTTGCGTATTATCCACTGCATGCATATATGAATTGAGTTCAGTTTGAAGAGATTAAAACAAAGGCTTTATGGTTAAAAACGCTTCTGCTGAGCGAATTTGTAGTTCCACTTGTCTCGTCTTGACATGTTTGCGTTGTACACGAGACGTGAAAATCTCTGGTTGGCCGTTGTAAAAAGCCCTATAAGGGACCATTCATTATTTATGACTGGTGGTGGGCTAGCAAAATTCAATTCATAACTAAACAAAATGTCCTGACCCACCCCCTGCATCACAAAAAAATTCAATGACCCCTTCACATGAATTCTAAAAAATAATAACCCCCCCCCCCCCACCACCACCACCACCACCACCACCGACAATATAATAAATGTACAGTACTGTATAGAAATGCGCTCTTTAAATTTGTTCGATAAAAGGCATCCGCTCTTTCATTTACTTGTGCTTTCAACAATTAGTATGCATGCCTATTTAACCATTAAGCTGCAGAGTTTCCTGTTGGCTTCCTGTTGACGAGTAAAATTGTCTGGCGTTAAACAAGTAAAAAAATATGTACTGGGGCGCAATGAGTTAACTAGAGACATTGTCAGATTTTTTGATTTAGCGCCGAAGAGGCTAAAGCTGGGGGTCATATACCATTTTTCGTTACTAAGAGTGTAGTTGCTTGAAGTTGCTTGAGCCGAAAAAAGTTGCTCCAAACGCAAAAAGTTGCTCAAAAGTTGCCGAGCACAATTGGGACATGCCTAGCAGAGCTTCGAGGGCCAAAGGCCCGAGGAAATTTTTTAAATTTAGAGTCTCTGAAATGCCATTTCCTGGACTTTGGGGAAGATTTGACAGAATTCTGATGGTCAGAAAACAGCATTTTAGTATGTCGAAATTTACAATTTAGTAGCACTAAATGGGCGAAGGCATATTTAATTAACTATATCAATATTGGATAAGTTGCAGGAAAGTGTTACGAAAGTATATCTAAATAGTATAAAAATAGTTCAATTTGCACCCCAGGAAATTATAGATACTAGTTACGTCAAATGGAGAGATAATAAGCATTTTTGCTGTAAAACTCAGATAAAGTATATATCATTTCGGACTTGTGTAAAAGTGTCAATTATCTGTCCATTAGGCAAGATAAATAATTTGTCAAAGTTGGACGATAACCTTGCATGGTGGGCTGTTGTGTTTGCATAATTCAAAGTCCAAGGCTGGTTCTTCTCTGACATGAAAATGTGCATGCTTAGGGCCTTTCTGTCAATCATTCTTCGGTATATTTCGCGCGGTTGAGTAATGATAACATTACGTCATCAAAATTTTGGTTCGATAAAATTGTAAGTGAATTTAGTTTAGTAGGTAAAGTAAGGTTCACATAGGTATAGTTTGAAGTTTTTACTATGATATTTTGATGAGTTGTGAACATATTTTATTTTAAGTTGTGAACATATTTTAATATTGATCGATTGAACAGCGAACCAACTCGACCAGTGCGACAACGCCTTAAATAAACAGAATGTGAGAGCTGGAACGAGCTAGCAACGCCAACCCACACTTTTAAACTTCAACGTTGATTGGCTGGATACAAATCACACCACTTGCTACATCACGTGTACAAAGATCCCTCAACCGTTAGTATAAAAGTGCGTGCACAACCAAAATTCGTCAATGGACAGTGGACTATAGAGTAAAGTGAACTCTTGAAAAACTACTACGAGAAGACGAACATAACATTAAGAACTGATAGTTATTAGAGATTGGTTGTAACGATTCACTACCTATAAATAAAGCCTCGTAACAAAAGTATGAGAAATATAATCTCCATTCTTTGCAGTTTGTCATGGGTAATGTAGCCGCTTAAAATTAATCAATTGTCAGTATTTTAAAAGTATATTATTTAAATGATTCTGCATGATTTTGGAAAAAGAATGATTAGCATGAATGAGAATGAAAAAGAATGATCTGCATGATTTTGGAAAAAGAATGATTAGCGCAACGTTGCTACAGCCCTGGGTTAGGAATAGGGTTAGGGTACAGGGCACTACGTCAATGAACTACAAAGACCGCTAAACAGCTAGTGACTCGAACATTTAACTCAGGCTTGGATTTGACTCGGACTTGACACAGCAAACCAACAAACTCCTTACTAAATTAAACCATGTATAAAATACCTAGTATAAACTATGATATGCCAAACTTTCCCTGGACATAATGTTGCTACATCACTTACTCGTTAATTATCTTTTTTATTAAAATGTACATAATTGGAATATGACAAAAATTTATGGCAAGTTCATGGCAAAAGTTATAAAGGTAGATGTTCGATTATTTCTCGTATTAGCTGCGCGCATTGCATTTTGGGTATTTGTGCATTGCATTTTGGGTCTATCTGTTGATTAAAATTCAGAATTTTGCTAGCTATATACATGAATTAAATTTGCTGCTTTGCTCGCTCCCTGTGGTAACAATAATCGTTACATGTCAAATTTTTCTCCACTATAATAAATAACTGGAACCCCCCTTCTGAACTAATATTTTTAAGTGCCCCCCCTTTTTCAGTCAAAAATACCTCGTGACCCACCCCTTTTTTTTGCCAGCCCACCCCCGGTCATAAATAATGAATGGTCCCTAACACAATGTCTCTGACTCCCGTGGGCTTTTAATTATTCATTTCTTTTGTACGAGATCAGGAATATCATTGTGTGAATAGCCGCCGTCGTCGCGTTGCCGTCCTGTTTGCTTAAGGTCCCGATTAGTAAAACCAGGAACACCGGAACAGCATCATTCCGGAACATCGGAACACTAAAAATTCTTAATTTGTTAAAAATTCGAAAAACAAAATTACCGGGGGGGGGTGTGAAATTATTGCTGGAAAAATTATTGCGTAAAACATGCTTTTTAATAATATTCTGACTTGCCGATTCCTACTATAAATTACGAACTGATATCAGTCTCAAATTAACAAATATTTGCCCGAAAAGAAGAAGTCAAACCTTGTTATTTGTTGACAGTAAATGGTTATCTGACTTTGTTTGTTATTGAAAACATGACCTTTTAGCTTTGGCCGGCTTTCGGGTCAATATTAATAGTGTAACAACAGTTGATTGGCTTCCTTGATTTTACAAACTTTACTTATGAAGTTGAAAAGGATAATTTTTATCACTCGTTAAAAGTTTGCGTTTACTTTAGGATCACTTACAATTCTTTAATATACGTAATAGCAAGTTGACCATCGATGGAAGGAAACTTTTAGCGTGATAATATATAACCTTTCGGTCAATCAAAATGACAAAAATACAAACAAAATAATGTAGGCCTTGCAAGTCATAGCTATAAATAATATTTCAACGTACGTAAAAATCATTCGCGACAAACCAGGGCATTTTTTAACTATATAACTGGGGGGGCCAAAGCCCCCCCAGCCCCCATGGTGGCCCCCCCACTCAACCATTTTGGCCCCCCAGTCAAAGTCCCTTTTCTCTAAAATATAAGCAAAACATTGAATTTAGAAGGGAGGTTTGATATTCTAGTAACTGAAATTTGCTTTGTGAATCTTATGTCCTGTCTTTTATGTTTAATAAATACCTTATTAGATTTTAAACATTTCCCAGGCAGTGGATTGCATTTCCCAGACCCTATAGAGTTTGAGTTGTTGGACAAGTTAGTGACCGCAGGGGGCAACAGGCCCTCAACCATGTGTTTTATAAGGGGGGGATAATTTTGGCCCCCACCAAAAAAAACAATTTGATTTCGATACTAGAAGTATTTGAAATCATATATACATATAATCAAATATCTGTAATCGATATTTTGATAACATTTCTCGTAATAATCCATCCTGACTCGCGGATATCGATCATAGACTCACAAATCATAATGAACGAATTAATGAAAGGGCCAAACAAAAGACGTATAGAAGACTTTGAAAATGCCATTTCCGATGATTTAGAGACGCAAAATTTTCAAAATTTTTCCACTCTGTGCCAACCATGGTGGCGCTTCGTGGGAGTCGGGAACTCTAAGTTTATCAAGCTGGCTCCCTAAGTGACGGCCAAGTTGTGGTATCTACATAAACATACTATGCAAGTACTTAACTGCAGGTTCAGTCTATCTACAGCATAATGTAATGCTGTATATCCAAAAATCTGTTTCAGAAAATGCAGGGAATTGCAGTCATAGGGGTAGAAAAATACAAAAATTTTCTGGGGGAGAAAACCCCAGACCCTCTCCAGGGCCGTAGCAACCGCGCCCGGTGTGGGGGGGGGGCTGGGGGGCTGCAGCCCCCCAATAATTTGCTGATAATCATTCATTTTTTAAAATCATGCAGACCTTTATTATTTAATCCATGACAAACTGCAAAGAATGAAGATATTACCCATACTTTCCTGCAACTTATCCAATATATTGTTAATTAAATACACCTTCGTCCATTTAGTACTACTGAATTCTAAATTTCCACATACTAAAAACGCTGTATTCTGACAATCAGAAATCTGTCAAATCTTCCCCAAAGTCCAGGAAATGGCATTTCAGAGACTCTAAATTTAAAAATTTCCTCGGGCCTTCGGCCCTCGCTTTCAGCCCCCCCCCCCAAACGAAAAGAGCTTCCTAAGGCCCTGCTCTCACCCCCCCTACTATTAAATGCGATACCACACCAAACTTTTTGTTACCAACAAACCATCTATCATTGCTCCACACTCGGTATAGTATGGTCCCTTTTTGTAGATGGCCCCCCCACTGACGAATTCTTAAAAAATGCCCTGCAGTTGGAAGAGCATTGGGCTAGTATTCCAAAGGTCGTAGGTTCGAATCCCACCGTGGCCGGGCATAT